AATGAAAAGATGGTTTGTGAATATTACCAGATGAAAGGAACAATATTTTTAGATCTTTTGGTTTGGGCTTGAAAGACATTTTCAACTGAGATAAAAAATACATTAGATGTTGTGTTAAAACGTTGTGGTCTATTTGGAAAGGTAGATCTTCCATACATTTCAGAAAAAGAAAATTTATGAAGTATATTTGTTTATGTAAACGTGATTAAATTTAGAAATGATATTCAATATTTAACCAAATTAGCAGAACAATTATCAAAATTAACAAAAATATAACTGGAAAGATGTAAAGAAGCTTTGATAGCGAATGATGCTGTATTAGAAGAATATGGTGTTGAATTTGTGTATTATTGTTTCATTGATACTTTACGACTACATGAACTTGTTTTGAAATGAAATATAATTGGAGACTATATACAACTAGCAACTTTAATATGTACAATGATATTGAACATTTTCATGAACGGTGTTAGATGTTTGGTACAAAATTTTTTATGGAAGATATGCTGCGAGAAATGATATGTTGATATTAAATCGTAGAAAAGGTGAAATTGTTGTAGAACAATATCAAGGAGGTTTAGTTTTGGTTCCTATGACTAATTTAAACAATCGACCGGTAGCTGATTTTGATTTCACATCTTATTATCCCAACACAATAATCACAAACAATATATCTTTAGATACATGTGTTAATATTGATTCTACGATGGAAAATTTAAATATAATTTCTGATTTAGATCAAATATATGGTAAATTTATTCGACACGATGGTGAAGAAAAAAAGATGGGTTTGATGCCCTTGATGTGTAAAATGTTGTTAGAAGAACAGGCAAAAGCCAAACAAAATATGAAAAAATATTTTCAAGATAAACAATTATATCTTTATTACAATTCTTTATCTAATGCTCTCAAGATATTAGCAAATTCGATATATGGTGAAACAGGATATAGATATTCACCACTTTATCATAGAGATGTATCTTTGTCTGTTATGGGTTTTGCTCGTTCAAATCTTCGAAGAATAGTCGAATATGCAAAAAATAAAGGCTACACGATAATTTATGGTGATACAGACTCATTTTTTTATACGATTCCAGAACATTTTTTTACACATTTAGATCAAAAATATAAGATAAAAAAAAACATATTGTTGATGATACAAAGAAAGATAAAGCAACTTCATTGGTACGAGATGGTGAAAAAAACTATAACACAATCGAAAATTCTCAAAAAAGAGATAAACAAATATCTACAAGAGATAACGAGTCATTCATACCTGAGAATGGCATATGAGAAGACAATGATACCAGCATTATACCTTCATAAAAAACAATATTGTGGTTGTGTGCATGAGAACGAAGTTGAATTTGACAGACCAAAACTTCTGGTCAAAGGTCTCAAATTGGTGAAATGAAATGTATCAGAATTTTATAAAGTGGTCATGGAAGAGCTGATCTGGTCATCATTAGGATATGAGGATAAACAAATTTCGATTTCCAATATGAGTTTGAAAGAAAAAACATTACAAACCATATCCAAATATATTGATGAAGATAAAGTATCTCTAGAACTCTTTAAACTTACAGCCAAATATGACCCTACAACCAATCAATGGGTAAAGGATTTTTGGAACATGGAAGAACGTAGACTAAAAGGTGATGAGACCAAAAAAGGAAATAAGATAGTAATTTCATATGTGACCAAGATGGCTGATTATGGTATTATGATTGAACATGAACGTTTTTACTATTTTGTAATTCGCATTCCAAATATAAGTGTTGTATTATATAGAATGCATCTATATGATTATTTCATAGAAAATTGAATAACAAAAAAACTTCATATAGATATACCGTATTATTTTGATAGTTTACGAGATATTTGTGTATCACTTTTAAGATATAAAGTGAAGAAGGCTCAAGAAATGATTCAAGAAATATTTGATGTAAAAAAAATAAGAAGCAGTTGAGAATTACAGACTTCACAAATCATATTATAGAATCTTCTTCAAATAAAAGAAAACATGAAAAAAAATCTTGTTTGAAAAAACAAATTAAATTAGATGTTTATTTTAACAAAAAATAAAAAATATAAATTAACCAGTTATTAACCGGTTAATTTTTTTCATGATTAAAAAAATATCAATTGTTGAAAGACCAAATTTGTTGTCATTAGCTTGCGAGCTTTATCATATGATTTTTCTTAATATCTATAAAAAAGATCAGTATCATCTTGGTAGAACATGCAAATATTTGTAGGAAATATATTCAAAAACGCTCGATGATCCTAATTTTTATTATTTTTATGAAAATTCTTACACTTTTTTGTGATGAGAGATATTACTTTATAAATTCAGATATATTAAAAAAGCCAAAAAGTCAGATGTTGTTTATTTTGATAAAAGATATCAACAGTGTGAATTATATAAACAGGCGAAACTTAATTGTGATTATAAACTAGAATGTGGACTCTGTCAAAAGAAAAATTGAAAATGTATTAAAAAAACCCATTTATTCAGAAAACTCTTTTCAAGACTGATAAAGAAGAATGATATATTAGAATATTAGATGATAGATGGTTTAATAGAACCATGGTTTTAAAACATTATGAGGATATAGCTGATCTTGGAAAACTAACTTGTGACAAATATTTTAGATGTGACTTCTGTGGTTCTTGTAATATTTTTAATAATCGATGTGATATTGATTCGTGTTTTTTCAGAAGAAATCACACGAATGACTCAAATATAGTAGTAGATCTTTTTAACACATTATCACTTATAAATCTTACACATATCCACCAACTTTGTCAAAATTGTTTTCATAATTGTCCTAAACAAACACAACTTAAAATAATAAATTCATCAGATTGGAGAGCCATTTAAAGATGAGATACATAAAATTTGAATACAACATTATCACTTGTAATATTTTCTCTTTGATACAAAAATTTTATCAAACAAATCAACAATCTGAAAACATAATCAATTTTTTTAAAGAAATTTCTTAATTTGATAAGAAAACATTTACAAAATTTATTTCTATTTAGAAAAAGCAAAAATCACTTCATACACCAACAAAATCTGAATTTGATTATACTTTAAAAATACAAATAGTTGAATCATTTGTAGTATTAGAAGAAACTGTCAAGTACCAAAACACAATATATATTATCAAATATGTATTTTACTAGAAATTATTATTTTTTTATTTTATTTTAAAAATAATAAAATTATCTGATTAGTTCTGACCAATCAGATTTTTTCTTAATCAACGTGGTTTGGCTCTAAATTTCTATTTAAACCCAAGTTTTATTTTTTTTAACACTAAAAAAAAAGTATTATTAAAAGGTGAGAGAGATTCACAACCTGTAATAATCTTTACTTTATGTAATAACTTTTACTAACTCTCATTTTTCGCTAACTCAGCGACTTCATATGTAGGTTGTTTGTCAACTAGTTTTCATAATTGTGATTCATTTATTTGAATTATTTATACTATAATTCCAGATGCCAAAAATATCATCAATAAAATATTATGCTGTTGCCAAAGAAGAAAAAATTGGAATATATACATCGTAGAAAGAATGTGAACAAAATGTGAAAGGTTATCCTGGAGCTTTGTATAAATCATTTTATACAAAGATTGAGGCTTAAAATTTTATAGATCAAAAAGAAAATTTAATTATAAATACTGATAGTACTTATGTTATTACTTCTAGAAATGTTAAAAAGCCTAAAACTAATTTTGATTTGGTTAATAAATTTAATGATTTAATTAAGGAACGTGAAGAAAAAACTTATTTAAAATATATGAAAGGATATAGTGGTATTTATGGAAATGAACAAGCAAATAGACTCGCATATTTAGATTCAAAAAAACCAGATGTTGAATTAATTCTACCAGAACGTAAAAACACAATCAAAGATTATTTCAAATAGCTTATTTTAATAAAAATTAAATAAAAAATATATAAAGTTATTTGAGAATCAAAATGCGATTCATATTGGCGACTGGGAGTGTAAGGGGCCCAGTCAAAAATCCGAATCAAATGATGATTCGCTTATATTAAAATATAAACACAACCCACACATAAGCAATTGCGAGGCTAGCGGAAGCCAAAAAAAGAATCTTATCTTGCAAAACAAAAAATTTAAATATAATCTAATCAGTTTATAAACCGATTAGATTTTTTTTATGTAATTTGATTATTAATAATATCTCAATCTGATTCTGAAGTTCAAGATGTTGTAATTAAAGAAAAAAAAGAAAAAACGTGTTTTTTTCTCATTTCATTAATTCGTTCAATTTCTTTTTCATATTTATCAATAATAGAGCTTTTTTTTTTTGTTTTTTAAACATTGTCATTAATTCATCAATTTTTTCAATAAGTTGTTTTTTAGTAATATTGTTTCCTCCAAATATACTATTTTTTTAGTCATTGAGAGAATTCTGAGAATATCATTTTTTCTTCTATTGTTTAATGCAGATTTATTTATGTATAATAAATTAAAAATATAATTATTTTTTTTAATATTAATTTTGATTGGTTCTAGATAAGAATTTCGATTTGAATTTCAAATTTAGAATTTCATTCATTAAAAGATTTTTTTTTAATATATCTAATTTAGTAAATTTAATGAACTAATAAATTTTATTTGTAAGATTTTTTTTATGATTTACTTGATTTAGTAATTTTATTCATTAAATGATAAACCAATAAAAATATTAAATTTTAACGATTTAAAAAAAATAAAAGACAAAAGACAGTTTAAATAAAAA